ATTATTTATTCACATTAATTATTATTTGCATAAATATTTGAATAAAAATCCATTAAAATATTGATTTTTATACAAATAAAGCACATTTAAATCATATCTTATATGTAAAATTTATGTAAGAAAAACACCGGGTTTTTACGGGAACCCGCGGGTTTCCCGGTAGTGGGTACGGGGCGGGTTGGGCTCAAACTCCACGGGTTTGGGCCGGGTCGGGTTTTGATTTTCGGTCTAAGTTTGACTTCTACCTCACACCCACCTGTGACCCAAGACATGGCCGGACTGTCCCTCAACTCACTGCCCAATGAGATACTCTGCCTAATACTGGGACAGTTGGCTTTGAAGGACAAAATGAGTGCCGAAAGGGTATGTAGGCGTTGGTCACAGATGTTGACCCCCTTATACCGCAAACACCGGTCCCTTCGGCTGAACTGCGGTCAGGCGTTAATTCCATACGACGGCTGCACTGACCGGACACACACTCACGACACTACCGGCGCTCTCATGTTCGGCGGAGACCTGACGGCATACCCGCCCACTCCTACCGTCCACTTGACTGAAGATATGTTGTGGTCTATCGTGAAGAGGTGTCCAGACATACAGTGTCTTCATCTGGAGAACTGCTCACTCGATGTCCAGACAATGGTGTGGATAATAGAGATGTGTCCGTACCTGAGATGCCTTTCCCTCATCGAAGTGATGGGCATTCGGGACGACGAGTGGGCGCTCGTCAGCCAACCCCTCGCCGGTCGCCTCAAACACTTCGCGATCACCGACTGCTCCGACGCGCTCATGAAATACCTGCGCCCTATCATCCCGTCCCTCAAGAAGCTCACTATACTCTACCAGTGCTCGCCTCTCACCGAAACGCTGTCCAATTTGGGCCCAAATATACGAAACCTAACCATAAAATACTGCGAGGAGTCCAACATCGAGATCGTCAACAGCCTGTCCGATGGGAACGGTATTGGGTTGAAGTGTCTGATTATTGAGGACCCGTTTATCTCCGTTGAGGTCCACAATTTGGATGCCATGTGTAGCCAACTGCCGGCGCTCGAGTACCTGTCCATTGGGTTCGGTGACATAACGGCCCCCAACCGACCCATACTGACCCTCAAGTTCAGCAAACGGCTGGACCTGACCGTTGACCTCATGCGCTGGGATGCTATGACAGACTTCACGTTTAATAGGGTCGAGCACCTGGAGCTGTGCGTCCAGTTTACTGTTGACAATCCCTCACAAATGGACACCACGTTCCCGGCGCTCAAACGACTAGCCTTTACGTTCCCCTGTGTTTGTCACGAAAGTCCGGAAATGGTGTACGAGTTGTACCCGAAGTGTGAGATGTGTTTTGAGTACATCTTTGACATCGCCTTCAGGATCGAGTCGTTGGTCTACCTGTGCCTCAATGGCGAGCACTTCCTCAGACGAGTCGACTATATCTACTCATGCGATCATAATAAGCACCAGTAGTCTCGCACAGGTATCTCTCAATTGTTTGTATTATAGATTGTTTAGCATTTTTCTACTTTTACACTTTATTATTTATTATGATCTGATTTTTAAAATTTCTTTTTAAAGTAACTTTTAGTAACTAATGTGAGATTTTCATGATTACCGTATATTGTGTTTTAATTGATACTGTTGTTATGTTTAGTAATCTCTGTAATGCTTATTACTTTTAATACTTTTATTGTTTAAAAAAAGTGTACTGTATTATATCACTGTATTAATGAATGTTTTAACTTTATTAGCTAATTAATTATGTTTTAAACACAGTATTTCAAAATAATAAAATATTTACATTTTATGTTATCGGTTAAAAGTTAAAATTGCTTTAAATAGCACAGGTATGACATAGTTTGAAGGATTACCGGGTCATATGGTTTACTAAAGCTTAAAATCACTTTAATTCTCTAATCTATACTTTTGTGTCAAACTTGCTTTCAAGGAAATGTATATAAAATTTATATTATAAATACTGTATAAATGAAAACTTATAGGTTATAAGTTATAAAATATTCACTTCATTTGATAGTTTGAAAACATTTCAAAAGTTTTCTTTGTTTTCATACATAATTCACATTCAATAGTGTATTCGTGCGGACAATGAATGTTAGACTTATGATGTGTTGTGTGTATGTGTGGGTCATATGTATCCCAATGTGTGTGCAATCGACGTATATCCCGGACACAAAACACACGACTCAAATGGATGACCAGATGGATGTGCCTGATCAATCGAAAAACTTACCACTAAACGGCTATTACATACAATACAGTGTAACGTTAGTTATATTTATATTGATAATCATTTTAGCGATACTGACATTAATCATAATGGCTGATGATAACTATCCGGACAAAAATGGTGGCTATCATCCATGTGCCCGCACAGTTGGCATACTATGGATAATCATGATAATATTATTCGTACCTAGTT